TAACACAACCTTTAATAAATATCAAGCCTGATCTGATTACTTATTTAGCTGATATTTGACATATAGTTTAGAAATAGCATGCAATTTACCTTTTTTTTAGCAGAATGTTTGTCGTTTATTATTGGAATATAGTTATGTAATACAAATTAATCGGCTCTTGGCTTCATAGTGGCTTTAAGAGTTTAGAGTTGAGCTATTTTAGAGCCGATACTTTATTAGTAAACCCAGAGCTGAGCCGTTAATTAGCTCGGCTTAGCCATTTGGCTCTTGGCTTGGCTCAAGCCATTTGTATCACTATATATACATACTAATTAATCAAACATATATAAGGTATTTGTAATAAAAATAGTATATAGCAATCAGCAGAATAGTAATCTAAACTGGATCAAACTGGTTAACCAATAACTAAACTCGTTGAAAAAAAACCTGTAACCGATTAACTCTAATTAAAACCTTCGGTTAACCGGTGAAACTCTATGAATTATTTAAATCTTTATATATCTCTAAATGTGAAAAAATACTATATTATTTTGTTACTAATAATTTTATATAATGAGATCCGATCAACTCACTGACAATTACTTCGTAGATACCACATTTCATCAACAAATAGTTACTAACAAGTTCATTTTGCTGACTGTTTATTTCACCGAAGCACATTTTACAGGCAAAGTAATTCTAGTCAATATAATTAGGATTAGATTAGAATTTAAGCTAAAGTTAGTGTAATTTATAAAAAAAAACTTGTCAGTGAAATGAGCTTTGGTAAAATAGACTGTTAGCAAAATAAACTTGTTAATGTATAATTTGTCTATGAAGTAATTGTCAGTGAAATAATATGGACACTATATTGCTATCATTATATCATAATTTATTAGTAATTATTAATCAAGTTGATTCTAAATATATTATTAAAATATAAATTAAAAAAATTAGTGTCAATAAAACTTTAATATATGATACCTATTATTGTTATCAATTAAAAAGCCTTCAAGTATCAATAATCTTTATTTATTATTTTGAATTAACAATACGATATAGTAATTAAAGATATTTAATTTTGCCAAATCATTTTTTCCGTATATGTACATGTAGTGTAATAATTATATACATATATAAACTAGATTACATCAGTAAGTGGTTAAGTTATGTGTCTTTTTTGTTGTTTGTAATATCTTCATACATGAGATCTATGGTTAAATTTTCCTCTTAATTCTGAAAAAAAAAATTTTCATCTGTCATTTTTGTAGTAGATTGATAGCTATTGCTATCGCTTTTGCAAATGCAAATGATTTTGTAAATACAAATGCTATCGCTATTGCTATGCTGTTGTAGCAAAAAAAAAGTCAAAATATGATATTAAATAGTAATAAAAAGCTTCACGTTTACTATTTTATTACCTTTTGCTTAAGTTTGCAAATATGATTTTGACATTTTCTTTCTTTTATTTTGTCAAAATTTTTACAGATCAGATGAAGTGATAATCACTGATCATCAAAGACAATACAAAATGTTCGTGGTGAAGGAATTTGTTGATCTTTTCAGAATACAACCTTTATATGGGCTAGGTGCTGGAAAAAGGAACGAAATCGACAAAACAAAAGATCTTCAGAAAATTAATTTTTGTGTTATAAACCTTGTAATAGATTATAAGAAAATACAAACTTTAAAGAGCTATACTGCAAAATTTTATTAACACAACTACTTTTATGTCTTAAGTGAAAAAAGATTCTAATCTTATTCTAAATTAATTTATTTAAAAAAATTTAGTTTGAAAAAATTGTCATTTTCGTTCCTTTTTTCAGCACCTAGCCCATATGTCTTCTAATATAGAAGCTTCAATAGATAGTGATGAATCCTATGAATCAGGTGTAGAAGATTCAACAAATAATGTGTTAGAAGATATGTCTTCTAAATTTAGAAGGTTTGATGGCAAATATGGGCCATATTTTCCAAACTTTACATCTGTGATGATATTTATCTGGATTACGAAGCATATGATTTGTAAGTAACGTTAATCGATATTTGAGTCAAAATTTTTTTTAATTTTTATTAACAGTTAATATATGTGTAGCAATCTCTGTGTATGAAGATCTTGTAAAGATCCTCACTCATTCTGAGTATCGAAAAGAAGATGTTGCTACAAACATCCAGCAGATTCGGAAATGGAGAAATAGATTGCCTTTAGTCAAAACATGCCAACATAACGTACCTCTCTGTGTGAACCGAACTCCATCAACTTATGAATCTATAAAAAAAGCATTCACTATTTCTCCGTTAACACACTTAGAATGTGTTTTAAACAACTCAGTGCTCATGTTAAAAATGTATTTTGGCCCTGGTATTGTTACAAATGAAAGTGAGAATTTTGGCATAGGGAATTATGGCAGGATTCATTATTGTTTAGTGAATACAAAATAAAAAGTAATGATGATAAAAGTTTGTTTTATCAAATTTATCAAATCTATTGTTATATAAAAATAAATAAATAAAATAAATAAATAACTTGTTGTATTGTTTATTAGAATTATACAAAGCTGGAGATTTTTTGATATATTATGAACGTGCATCATTAGTTATATGTTGAGTACGTAGAGTGGTAGTGGATGAAATGGATAATAATCGGTATAAGTTAAAAGTTGATCGAGCTCTTTTACACGAAAACCTTCCTAATATTTGTCCTACTAATAATCGGCATATTTGTGGAGATGAAAAAGAATTATGGTTAATTAAAAGAGAATCAATATTGATTGACCTTGCAAATATAGAAAGACATATTAATATTTGGTTGGTTGACATGCTGGAGCCTTTAGAGTACAAATATTTTATTAAGGAGATCGTATATCGTTTCAGTGGCAGATGGAAATACCGTAGCATAAAACTGTGATATAGATTGCTTTGCGAAAATGTTACACTTATATTACCACCACAACACCTGCCTATCCTAAAGATTTTTCTTGATATTTATGTTGACGATTTTGGTACTTACAGAAATGTGTATCATTTATTAGACGGTATTTATCTACAATTCGGCAACATGCCATTAGATTTTCAAAAACAATTAAAAAATCATTTTTTAATTGGTTTCGTTCCATTTGGGGCCACTTTCGATGATTTTATTAAACCAGTTATTCAAGATGTAAAACGTTTGGAAAGTGGTTTTATTATAAAAACTTTGATTGGTGATGCTTGGGTCATGGGTGGGGTTGGATGTATCACATCTGACTTGCTACAAGGAAATGATTTGGCTGGTGTTAAACAGTATGGCACAAATCATGGTTGCTGAACCTGCAATGTGCCAAATGATCAGTATACTAATTTTGATTATAATTATATACAAAATGCTCGTTTTCACCAGCAAACAAAAGAACAGTTTATAGAGATTGAAGGTCAACATTCTAAAACTAACAAGGACCGATTAGAAGTTGAGTATGGTCTGGCTAAGCCAGGACCATTAAAGACACTTAAATAGTGATTAAATTTTTTTTTTGTTAAAAGTTAAACTACATATAATATATACCTTTTATATATATATATTAAGGGATCGGCATATCCAAACGCCGCAAGATACATACCACTCCATGGCTGGAAAAGCATGCACTCTTTTAGAAGCAACATTTAATACATTTAATTTAAATGGAGAAAATGCTTTTCTGTATCACTGGAAAAACATAGAAAAACCTGCTCATTGGTGTTGAATGCCCAATTCCTTATGTCACTATCAAAGTTTCATATTTTTTGACGTGTTGAGGCTTGCGATGCTAATGCCTTTCATACTTCGAAGATTTTTAAAGCCCCATCATATTAGGACAGAAATATTAAACAATTGGAATATAAAGCAAAATTTAGCTGTATCTAGGTTATGTACTTGTTGGGCAATTGAAGCCAAAGTATTAAAACTTGCATTCTCTCTTTCTATGACAAAAAATAGATATCAGGAATTGCAAGAATTACTTGAAAGTGAATGTGAAACACTATTACAAGTAAGTAATCAAAGTTTCTAATCTATTATCGCTATGCCTTATTTATATTTATACACAACTTTCACATTGAGGGGTATTATTGCTTTTTTTTTCTTGGATTAATCAGGATGGCCCCTGACATTTGAGTTATATAATACTGTATATGTTAGGTAGTGATCCTGGCCGATAGTGAAAAAAAATTAGCTAAAGCAAATTATCGGCAGATCGATTTGGTATAGTCAAAAGATGCCATTATGTGGAAAAAATGAATAATCCCTAAAATATGAGCAAGATTGGGATAGTAAATTCTGAATAAAGAACAAAATTAAATTGTAAGTTAGACCAAGCTGATAAAATTTATCAGCTTGGTCATAGCCAAAAATTATGTGTGACCAGGATCACTAATGCTAGAGTGTCCAGAATTCTACAATTTTATATTTTTTCACACATAATTGTACAAATTTTTACAGCTATTCCAGCTAGCACTACTGGTATTATTAAGCAGAGAATTTTGATTGACTTATGACAATCGTCAAATATTAAGTTTTCGTTCAAGGCTGATCTGGATTCTCCAAATTCGACAATTTCAGTGAATTCAACAAATTCAGCAAATTCACTGCAGAATTTGCAATTGCAGAATTCTAGACACCCTAATATTACTATTGTAATAGTATTTATTTAGTTATCTACAATAGTTTATATGCTGTCACGTAACCCAAACTTTAGAGTGGATAAAATTCTATTTTTCATTTATGTATAGCGATAGAAAAAAGATATATAGATTTTTTTTAACCAGGCCATATTTAAGCTGATTAGCCTAACACTAAATTAACACTTAAATCTGAATAATAATGATTGAATATGCATTAATGCCAAGTTCGCATGTATATTTTTTTACATAGTATATACGTACCATATATATTATACATATCATACGTATAATTTTTCAAATTTTTTTAATCTATTTTTTATCATTATTAGCTATTTCCAAATAAATTTACAAATCTGCCAAATTTGCATGTAAACATACACCTTCCACAGCACGCTCGAAATTTTGTGATACTAGTAAATACTGCCGTTGGCATAAAAGAGATAGTACATCGCATATTTAAAAATATGGTGCCACATACGAACCTTAAGGCCATTGAACTTGATCTTACTCGGCGCTATAATACAATACAAGCATTACAACATCTTATTGATGGCTGGGTAGATCCTCGATTTAATATACAAACTAATGCGATAAATAATCTTGTAATGGATCCAAGCCTTCACACAATATTATCAGGCTGGTATGCTACAGAAAGTCAATCGGTTTTTATAAATAATCAAAGTGTTGAAAATGATAATGACAGTAAGTATATTGATTTACTAGTAATAAAGTCATTATTATTTATTAATTTAGTTGTTTTTCATAGATACTACTATAATATATCACGATCAAAGCATTATTGACATTTCACTTGGTAATAAGTGGAATAAAAATAAAGTTGAAAGCATAGGCATATCAAAGAATTTAGATGCTAAACATCCATTTTTTCAAAACCTTTTTAATGCATATGCTGATTATTTAAATTCAGGTTTTGCATTGATAAACAGAAAGTTGGAATTTTATAATTTGATTACATATACCGTATTTGAAAGTAATCAAGATTCAATCCGGATAAGTCTTAAAGTTGGTGATTTTGTGGATCTGCTTGAAGAGACCGAAGGCATTGCGTATGCTAGAATTGTGTCGATTTTTCAGCATCAAGCAAATAATAGTCAATATCATGCATTTTTTTATTTAATTGGTTTCAGGCAACGAACAACCTCAATTCTATATTAGGATGTCCAATTTATCATATCCAAAAGCCTGAAGAATCACGTTGGGCTAGAATCTTTTTAATTAATTTTATTGATCATATTCCTCATGTACATTTTATACACAATTGTACAAATACATGTATTAGTAACGGTGAGCATGATGAGACCAATCGAAGCCATATTTTAAATAAGTTTTACTATAGTACTGTATGAATTAAATACGTAATGCAAAAAATTATATATTTTATGTAGTTTGGTAGCGCATTAATTACCATAACGATCTTTTTTATTTCAGTATGTATAGTACAGTACGTTTGTAAATTTCTTTTTGTCAACTATTCTGTACTTTCTATTTTTCTTTGTGAAATGAAGATATAACAGAAGTATGACTCTCTCTATACAGAACTAATATAAATTTTGGTTTATTCATTATAAAAAGGTGAGTTTAATAAGTATATAGAGTTTCAGATATAAGGTCTAGAGATTGGAACCGGTGAATTTCGAGCATTCATTGATCCCAAACTTTCGAATTTCAAGCATCGGTAAAAAAATTTTGACCGATGTTTGAATGTTTGATGAATTTTTAAAAAATTTAGTAATATTATAAATTATACTACTATCAATGCATTTTTAATATATAATTTATATCAATTATATAATCATGTTATCATTATCAAAGTTAAATTTCAATCAAAAAATGTATCTTTATGTTGTTATTATCAAAACAAATAGTTAAATTTTAACATTCACTGATACTCGATGATATCTGAATTAAAAACTCAGTGAATGAAGCTTATTTTCGATGCTTGAAATTTTTGACTGATGCTCAAAAAATTATTCACCAGTTCCAATCTCTAGTAAGGTCAACAAAGCTTATAAAATTTAGGTTTAAAAGTGAAGCCCCTTAATAATAAGGAATATTCTTTTTCATTTAACAAATTTTTATGAACTAAATATTATTAGAAATTTTTAACAAAATTGGCACGCCACAACCCTTGATCAGTTTCTTTGATCAGTTCCCGTAATCAAGATCTAATCTTAATAAATAAGATTTCTTTCATTTATTAGTGCTAAATTTCTTTTCTTTTTTTCTTTGCTTATTATAGTTTGGTGCTCTTCATTAGTTCTTCGTTTCTTGTTCTAGTTCTTATTATAAACTAATGTTTTTTACCCTTTTTATTTTTGAGATTAATTCATCGCTTGTTCTTTTCTCTTATCTTCAAATATTTAATGTCTAATTTTTGACAGGTTCAGAATTTTTGATTTTCGTCATTCTATTTTTATACTGTAGTTGTAACCAAGATTTTGTGTTTTAGTAATACGACCTATCTTAGCAGTCATAGGAGGACTTTCATATGATTGGCTGATGTAAATCAATTGCCCGGGTAACTTATTTATACACTTTAAAGTACT